ATGTGTGATCTCGGGAGAAAATCCCAGCAGAAAGATCACGCGCGGTCAAAGCTGGAGATGACGCCGTGGTTCCGGTTGCTGCTCTGAACTTCCTGTTTGTTGTGGTGCAGTTTCCACTCCTCTGGGCCAGGGCAGGGTGAACCAGCTCGGCGGGGTCTTCATCAACGGACGGCCTCTGCCGAACCACATCCGACACAAGATAGTGGAGATGGCCCACCACGGCATCCGACCCTGTGTAATCTCGCGACAGTTGCGAGTTTCCCACGGATGTGTGTCCAAGATTCTGTGCCGGTACCAAGAAACCGGCTCCATCCGTCCGGGGGCCATAGGAGGCAGCAAACCCAGGGTGAGTGGGGGCCCAGAAACAGAGCACGGAGGACTGATGTAAAAGACAAGATCAAATATACAGGACACACACACACACATAAATATTATAATTTATAGTGTTATAAAAAATACAACTGAATAAAATATTGGATTATTTAGTTCAGATTTAACTAAATATATGTACATATATAAATGATAAATGAATAAACTCTAACATAATAACAAATTAAAGTCAGTAAAGTGCTCCAGATATTTATGGTTTTAGTTTTTCTTCTAAAACAGCGCGACATTTTAACACCTGACAGGAAATTAATGAAATGACGTCACAGCTACTGCAGAAACGAACAACAAAAAATTAAACAAATGCAAGATTTAAACGGACCGTGAATCAGTGAGAGATTTATCTAATAACATTAATAAAAATCACATTCAATTCGAACATTTTCAAAATCGTTCGATTTTCAACAAATGTTTTTTTTCTCTTTGACTTCACTGCAGCATTTTTGCGACAACGTTAAAATCGGTTTGTGGAAAAAACAACCGTAAAAACATTTTAACATTGTCATCAGTTATATCAGTTTGTGGAAAAAAACAACCGTAAAAACATTTAGACATTTTAACATTGTCATCAGTTATATCTTAGATATTATAGTTATATATATATATATAAAAGTTATATATTTTTTAAGTTTTAAATTGGACCTGGAATTAAAAGTGTTTGTTTGTTTGTTTGTTCTTCCCTCCTCACACCCCCACCTTGGAACCTAAAGCAGGTGGCAACTCCTGACGTGGAGAAGCGCATCGAGGAGTACAAGAGGGAGAACCCGGGAATGTTCAGCTGGGAGATCCGGGATAAGCTGCTGAAGGACGGCGTGTGCGACAGAAGCACGGTTCCTTCAGGTGAGGCTTCATCTGGTAAGCTGGACTTTTTATTTCCTTTTATAAACCGGTCAACACTGCAGCGGCAGTGACAGCAGCAGTAACAGCAGCAGCAGCAGCAGTAACAGCAGCAGCAGCAGTTGACCCTCATGAATCCAAATCTTATGTTAATATTTAAAAAATCTCAGTCAATGAAAAAAATCTAAAAATTCTAACTTTTAATTTTATTTAAATTGCAACAATTTGACCCTGGAAGCTGATGATGATGATGATGATGATGATGATGATGGGATTGTTATGCTTCTTTAGGCCTAATCAGCCGTTTACCTTTGTGTTGCCCTCAGTCAGTTCCATCAGCCGGGTGTTGAGAACCCGATTTGGCAAAAAAGATGACGAGGATGACTGTGATAAGAAGGATGAAGATGGAGAAAAGAAAACAAAGCACAGCATCGACGGCATCCTCGGTGATAAATGTAAGTTCGTCACTTCCTCCCAGTCTGCGGCCTCGTGTCGGTGTCTAATGACCGTCATTATTCATCATTAACGGGGAGGAAAAACAGCCGACGTTCTTGGACAGAGTTCCAGCTCCGTCCTCTGGGGACGTTGTTCCGCATCCGAGCTGCGACTAGAATTTATCCCGCCTTTGTCCTTCTTTACTCAATTATTTATGAGAGCCTTGGCAGAAGGTGTTTAAGAGCAGAAAATTAATTTGTGTCATTTAACGAGCCCTAAACGACGGCTGACAGTTGACCCGCTTCACAATCGATGTCACTTCAGCACGTGTCACTTTAAGAGGAAATCAATGTCGCTATTTATTATTGGATTATTAGACAAATGTAAGACCATCTATTATTATTATTACTATTATTATTGATATTATTATTATTATTATTATTATTGATATTATTATTGTTATTATTATTATTATTATTATTATTATTATTATTATTATTATTATTATTATTATTATTATTATTATTATTATTATTATTATTATTATTATTATTATTATTATTATTATTAACTTTATAGTTTTGTACTAATTTAACTCAGACGAACGTTTAAAACCACGTCAGAAAATGTGATTTTTCCCATTATTATTTTTTACCGTGATTTCATGGAAAAAAATGACTCTGGAGCAAATGACAAATTCAATCATCTATAAAACAACAACACTACTGCTTTTAATAATAATAATAATATTTATAATAATAATCATCATAATATTAATAATAATAATAATGTATAGTAATCATAATCATATTATTATTAATAATAATAATACAATAATTTTCCAGCGTTAAATTTGACAGTAAATAGTACAAAATGATGAATTCCTACAACAGTCAGATTATAATAAATACACCATGGTATATTTTAGTTACTTATTAGTTACTGTAGTGAAAATATTAAAAGATTAAAATAGTTACATTTGTTTAATACATTTAATTATTACATATATTGTACTGATTTATTTTAAGTTTATTCCGCTTCTTTACAAACTAAGACCAATTATATGTGTAGTTTATCTCTTATATTATCATTAATTATTAGTAATTTAGTATTGTTTTATAGATTTCTGTTGGTTATAATAACAAAAACAGTGACTTTTATTCATATATATATATTGTATATAATACATTATTATTTTCTACAAATGTAAGACCATCTATTATTATTATTACTACAATAATAATAATTATTACTATTATTATTGATATTATTTTAGGACATCGCTTCAATTTTTGGACATCGACATTTATGCGATTATTTTATTTCCGCAAAGACCCGTTCAGATCCCTTTCCCCTCAAAGAAAAGCAAAAGAAGAAAAACAGTTGAGTTGAATTTGGACTCCAGGACCACGACCTCCCTCCATTGAGGCTTTTCTAAAGTTAAGAGTCCGGGCCACAAAAGCAAATCCTGGAAAGATGGCAGCCAAAAAGAGGAGCATTCACACCCAGAGAGAGGCGGAAAAACGAGGCAGAAAAGTTTGGACAAAGGCCGCGCAGAGCCATAAAGGGAGATGAATTATTCAGTGCTCCCCGCTGATAGATAGTTTTGTAATTTTGGATAATGGCGTCTGAGAAGAATCGCTTGATAGCGTGAAAACGCTCTCCCTTTTCTGTCACATTAGACATGAATGTTTGGAGGAAAATGTCAGCTCTGGCTCCGTCTTCAAGGAGCGGAAATCCTGCGATAGTTTTTTAAATTTTATTTTGATTTTTAATTTCATTATAGTAGAGTTTTTCAGCGCGGCGGTGGAAAGTGCAGCCACTGCTGTTTTTGTTGGAACCGTTTGACGCACCGTGGACCACCGGGATCCGTTAATACTTATTAGACTAGCGCAGCCTGCTGGATGAATAGGAGGCCGTGTAATAGCTCGCAGCCTCGGTGAGAAATGTATTTATCCCCAATCAGCTCCTCACTCCCCGGTCTGAGGCACAGGCCTTGTGTGGAGGGGGGGGGGTATTAAAGCAGATTAAACACAGCTTTTTATATTTTCTTTTCACTTTCATCTGACAGCGCAGCCCTGGGCTCACACACACACACACACACACACACACAGAAGATTTTTTTACTTATCCCGATTTCAGGACTTTATTTATCTATTTGTTTATTAGGTCTGTGTGCGTGATTTTCCAAGAGCTTATATTGATCCCAGCTGTAATCTTGCGTTATTAACGCTGTAAACCACGTGACGTCGTCAGTCAACGTTCGATGCAGCGGGAAATGAAAAGAATTCACCTTTTCACTCCGTCACATCCTGATCCTCCAAAACCACGACCCTCACGCGGCTCTTTAATGTTGCCG